TCTCTTTCTCCTCTCTCTCTCTCTCTCTCTCTCTCTCTCTCTCTCTCTCTCTCTCTCTCTCTCTCTCTCTCGCACTCACTCTCATCTTCCCTCTCTCTCTCTCAAAATGATGTGTCAGGTTCTGACTGCTAGCTTTCCTTCCATTAACCAAAGGACCACTCTGGAAACCAAAATCAGGAACTATCACCTCTACACCCTTTTGTAACTAAAACCCTCACACTATACATTGCAGTGTCTGTGTCTACTACACATTTTGTCTTGCACAGCCAAGTCCCCACATCTAGTAGGATTCAGCTCCTGATAATTGTCACCTCCCATAGAGCCAAGTGTACCAATACAAATACAAAACAGTTTTCAGTCTTTTTTTGCAACCTCTTCCCTAAAGTAAAAGGTCCCAATAAAAGAATAGGAGTCTACCTAAGACTGAACTGGGGCCTCTAAAATTGGGAGTCAGTCGAGAGGCCTGAGCAGTCTCAGGTTTTACTGGCAGTGGAACCAGCATTTATCCCCAGTGCATGAATATGCTTGTTAGCCCATTAGATATGGAGGATACACTTTTGTGCAATTATTTTGATGATTTCCCCTTGTCAATTACTTCCATAACTTCCCTCCATTTCTACCATCTAATATTATGATCTTCCTTTTTTTTCTTAAAAAAATAAAACACAAACCAAAAGAAAATCAACACTGTAGGGAGCTGCAGAAAACCACACCCAAAAGATGGCGCCAGTTTCTGCCCTCCGCCAGCCCGATGGTGAGCGCTATCTGTGGTAAACAACTCCAAATTTGGTAAAGGTCATGTATCCTCTTAATTCTGCTTGGAGACAACCTATCCTGGCGCGCCACGTAGGGTTAGGTGATTGGTAGATATAGACTATATCAGGCACCGTCTCCATCGGCCCGCCGCCGCCTCCATTATACATTGTACAAAACAAAGAGGTTCCCGATTAATCTGTGTGAAGAAGATTCCTCGGTGTGGCGTCTTTCTTACTGGTCAAGGGTGGACGCCGCACAACACAATCTATACCTATAAAATTTTAGAAAAGAAAATGAGCACAAACATCCAGCACATATCTATTGAGCTGATCTATGTATTTGCCAATTTTTCCCAAACTTGTGTTCTATCAAGAGAAGTGGTTAAGATACCCAGTGAGAATTCATTGGAGGAAACTTATTCTTCCTTTGCCATTAGGATAAAATTGCAGGTGTGTCCTTTGTTAGTCAGAGAAACCTGTTTTCACTTCCCCTTTCATTGCTAGACCATCCAACTGGCTTGAAAATTTGCATGGTTGAGTGCATTGCAGCAGCCTGTGCTGCTTTTTGGTTTTTCTGTCCTGTTGTATCTGGAATACACTCTTCCTTGGAATCAACTATTTCCGCTGGCTCCAAGAGTCTTTCTGTTTCCTCATCTCAATAGCTCCCTGAACCTTGAGGCATAATTTTCATGAGGCCATCCCATTTAGAACTAAGTATTACAAAATCTCACACTTTCCCCAAATTGATATGAGTCTGTGGTAGTTCAATATCCTCTGACAGAGTTTCACTGGAGTGGGCTGTTTGAAACATTAATCTCTCAGTATAGCATTATGTCATCAAGAGTCATTTTATCACTATGCTCCTTTAGCAGGGTAATAGTACTGGGTTTGGGCATAGGCCTATGACCTATCTGCTCAGATTTTTGGATACTTTAGCAGTGTCAGTTTTGACTTATATCTCCTGGAGAGGGCTTCAAAACACATCACAGAGTGGTTGGTTATTGACAAACAAACTATTTTTGTGTCAGTCTATTTAGTCAAATGGTCACTGTTGTCATAGGGTTTGTAGCTGGGTGATATTGATGATTGTCTTTTTCATTCACTAGAATGCAGAGTACATTCCTGTGTCATGATTGATAGTCAGGAGTGGTAAAGCTTCTAGATATACACCAGCTCAACATCTCCAAGTTGGCTGAGATACATTTGTCTTTCTTCAGCAATGAGGCCTAACAATAAGGTTGCATATATGCAATAGTTTTAGCAGTATGGCTGAGTTTCAGAGGATTTCCTAGGGCACATCTTCAGCTCTTTATTTAGATAGAACCTTATCATGTCACTGAACCAACATTCTTTTCTTCAGATGTTTTTCTCAATGAATATAGAACTTTGTTTCTCTTTATTAATCTGCTTTGTTTTTTATATGCCCTTTTTTCAGTTTTGGAAGGTTATAAAAGGTTAGAAATTTACCATTTGCTCCAGCTTTCCATTTCATGCCAGTATACATTTTAACAATACATGCAAAAGAAGAATTGAAGGAACCAGAGTGGTCAGGGATAGCACAAGGAACATTGCACATAGAGAAATTAACAGGCACACATAGGTGCTCACATAGATATGGGAGCCTGTAGACACCTTACCCGGGCCCTATGTATATATGTTATTGCTGTGTAGCCAGAGGTCATTCTGGGTTTCCTAACTGTGGAAGACTAGTGGTCACTGATTCTTTGGCATACTTATGCTACCCTTTTCCTGCTGCTGCTGAATTGCCTAGTCATATAGTAGCATATTATTCCATGTTTGGTTGATGTTCCTGGGAAGCCTGTCCTTTTCTGAGGGATTATGTAAAGATAGTAAATCTGGGGAAGACAGGGGAGAGTCTGCGGGAGGGCAAAGAGGGGAATATATGGTCAGTGTATAATAGATGAAGAAAGAATAAAAAAAATACTAGGAAATGAGCAATTGGAAATAGAAATGCATTGACATCATTGGTTCCTAGATAGCCTTTTTATGATAACACTATAGAGAGAAGAAAAAAAACATTGGGACATTACCATCATTTATACTTACAGATGCACCGGGAAACAACATACATGTAATAACTTCCATCTAAGAAACAATGTCAAATCAGATAAAAAATAATAGAATAAAAATGTAAACTGAATAATCATGTATCAAATTATCTAATCTATTAAAAGAATAAAAACTTCAAAATAAGTTGTAAATGTACATATGGTTTAACATACATGATGATATCCTGGATATCTGAGAAATGTTACATGAATCTATGTTCTGATAACAAATGACTATTACCTAATACAGAATAATTTTCTA